AGATCAGACTGTACCATACACACCCTGTACAGACTATTCCATACACCTTAATTATACCCTGTACATATCAGACTGTCCCATTGTACAGAGCAGACTGTCCCATACACCTTGATTATCCCCTGTACATATCAGACTGTCCCATTGTACAGAGCAGACTGTCCCATACACTTTGATTATTCCCTGTACAGAGCAGACTGTCCCATACACCTCGGTTATACCCTGTACATATCAGACTGTCCCATACACCTTGATTATCCCCTGTACAGACTATTCCATACACCTTAATTATACCCTGTACATATCAGACTGTCCCATTGTACAGAGCAGACTGTCCCATACACCTTGATTATCCCCTGTACATATCAGACTGTCCCATACGTACATATCAGACTCTCCCATACACCTTGATTATACCCTGTACAGATCAGACTGTCCCATACACTTTGATTATTCCCTGTACAGAGCAGACTGTCCCATACACCTCGGTTATACCCTGTACATATCAGACTGCCCCATACACCTTGATTATATCCTGTACAGAGCAGACTGTCCCATACACCTTGATTATACCCTGTACAGACTATTCCATACACCTTGATTATACCCTGTACATATCAGACTGTCCCATTGTACAGAGCAGACTGTCCCATACACCTTGATTATACCCTTTATAGATACAAAACATATCAGACTGTCCCATACACCTTGATTATACCCTTTACGATACAAAACATATCAGACTGTTCCACACACCTCGATTATACCCTGTACAGAGCAGACTGTCCCATACACCTTGATTATCCCCTGTACAGACTATTCCATACACCTTGATTATACCCTGTACAGATCAGACTGTCCCATACACCTTGATTATACACTTTATAGATACAAAACATATCAGACTGTTCCACACACAAAACAGATCAGACTGTCCCATACACCTTGATTATACCCTTTATAGATACAAAACATATCAGACTGTTCCACACACCTCGATTATACCCTGTACAGAGCAGACTGTCCCATACACCTCGCTTATACCCTGTACAGATACAAAACATATCAGACTGTCCCATACATCTTGATTATACCCTTTACAGATACAA